AAAACCCGTGACAAAATGTAAACAAACTATTAACGCATCGGTTGCGCTCATATTTCATCGATCGATTCGAACACCAAGAAGTTTGTAAAAGGTAAAAATTCATTTTAAGTCAGTGCATTGAATTATTTACGGCAAAATCAACAACAATCATCGAGGATTTTTCAATTTTGAAGCGTTTAACAGCAAAAAGTCACATGCTAATTCGGAGTAAATTTAGACAGTTTTTAAACAGACTGAGCTATTGTTAGTCGCGTAAAGTTCTATTCTTCATCGAAGAATAGGCAAATGTTGCGGATGTCTGAGCAGGAACAATAACCAGGAAAGGGATATACCCAGGGGATTTCTTGATTGACACTAAATTAACGTCATTTTTCACTTATTTGCATTTTCACGATCGACGTTTTTGAATGGGCGCGTTTCTGTAATGACCACGGCAGGTTTAGCTCAGTCGGTAGAGCACTTGACTGCAGAGCGGGAGGTCGCGGGTTCAATTCCCAGGGCCGGACCAATACTCAGGGTCTTAAAGTAACTGAGAAATGAAGGTACTTCCTTTGTCCTTCAAATGGCTAGACCTTTGCGTGGCTCGGATGACCACGTAAAATAGTGGTCCCGTCTCCATTAGGAGACGTAAAAATAGTGTCCACAATTAGTACTTTCGTGCTTAATACATTGACACTCAAATAAAGTGCATTTTTTTTTCACACACGGGTGCTCCCATATCTTGAATTTAGAACTTCTCATTGGATACTGATCACACTTTCCCGCGATACTCGCCATAACTCGGACGTACCTTCCATTGGTTGAGGAAGCTGGACTGCTTTCAACTTCCCTTTACCAAAAAAAGGCAGAGATGTTATCACAGCCCGTGATCGAGTTTACACCTATAACGGCTCCTCATGAAGCAGTGGTTAACATCGCCTGGGTTGAGTTGCATAGAATGTTAGCGCCTCTTCCCTTTTTCATGTAGCACCTTTTCGAAGACAAATTTTTGCTATGAGCAAGTATTGGGACAAAGACATTAGTCTCAGTGTCAGTGTATCAGAGTGCAACACACCGTCATTCCTGTGCGCATGCCGAGCATGGAGAACAATACGCGCATCAGCCTCTTCGTCACGGAACTGTACCTCAGGAACAGGGTCTCTGATCACCATGTGTCTGCGTCTAGTTGCCCGACTGGTCTTTGGTTGTCACACAGGGAGTCCATGATCCAGTTGCCGAGTCTGCTTCTAAATGCTTCGGTTTTGCCTTGCCTGCGTGCAGACATCTCCTATTTCCTTTGTTGCACGCAGAAAAGGGACGTCTGCGTAACACCGTCTCTAATTGTGTTCCAGCGTCCCGCTGGCAAGGTATTCTATTTCGCATAAATTGTGAAATAATATCCGGTTAGAAATAAGACTTGCCAGGCCAAACACAACATCATAAGCTCGTGATAATGCGAAACGTGACGGAGAGTCTGCTTGAACAGAGGTTTTTCTTCCTTTCTCTCTCGGCGAAGGTTACTAGCACTACACAGTGGATGTAGCATTCTAAACTTTGACTGAGTAAATCTCGTTTTTGCCACACTAAGTCTTTCATTTAGAGGTCAAGAAGCAGGTTTGTTACATACATACTGAGTAATCATTTCCTGTGGTTTATGCTTCTGTGAGTGTTCCTGATAGGATTTGATTTCAGATGCAGTTGTAAAGTGTTTAAATTTTTCTTTGACCTCTGTTTGTTACGGCTAAATAAAGATTTTAGTTTCTTAGGCTTGCCTTCTCCAAAATACCTGCCTGGTGAGAAGTCCATGGCGCTTTTGTAGTTTTCTCAGACACTGTTTACAAATATGATGTGATGTGTCATGCACAGTAAATTGTAAAGAAATAATTTCTTGGCGCATGCTAAATTTTCTGCGGCCTCGCACAAGATTTCGAACGGTGTGCACACAATGGCACATGTTTTGATTTGTTTTGGCTGGAAAACCCCGATTACATAAATTACCGCATACATTATCAGACCAGATTCGATAGCAACCAATCAGCATTAAGTCAAACAATGTGCACTGTGTGTCAGCCTATCACAGCATGTTTCCAAGATCTTGGGAACCCAGCAGGACGCTGGAGCATGATTAGCGATGGCGTTACGCAGACGTCCCTTTTTGCGCGTGCAACAAAGGAAATAGGAGACGTCTGCACGCAGGCAAGTTTTGCCCTGTGGCATGAGGAATTCAACGATTTCAGCTTATTTGTGTTGGCACTTAGCAGCTCGTTCCATGACTTCACAGTATAGTGCATCGCAGTAGATGCCTATATTGTACACTGTCAGCGGTACACATTATTTTCAGAAATTGTCATTTTGTTATGAACACCTCGCGCTACACGTCAACCAATACGTCTACGTGCCTGCTGCGCGAAGTTAGTTACTATAAGCTACCACATGCAACATAGCTCCAGAGGAGATTTACAACTTCTGTAGCCTGCCGTTTTATCGAAACTGCCGGTTATGTTCTCGGCTTGCTGGAACTGTCCCAGAAGTGCCATCCAAGCACAAGAGGATGGACTAGATCCTTGTTGCGAATCTTATGCACAGCCTTCATTTTGGCTTTCTTCAGTGGATCAAAGAAAGCATGGGACTGGATGAGCAACGGCTCATTACAAGGTCTTTCGCTGGCTGCTTTCTCTTGCCCGTGGGGGGCAGTCAGTCGTCTCTCACTTCTGTGTAGACAAACTTAGCGAGTTGCAAAATAGTCTCTCGTTGGTGAACTTACTTCGGCCATTACATTAATTTTGATGAAACGTGCGGGGAATTCACATTCAGCTGAAACCTCGGAAACTGATTCCGGTCATGGACGCCTAGCTGACTGGATAAGGTTCTCCACTAAGAAATTGTTCTCAAGAAGAGACTCTATTCAATACACTTGCAATATAACAATATGATTTATTTACTTACTCTTTTCTGAAACAATTTTCTAAACCTTACATTTTTGCTAGTTATTACACAAATTGCGAACTGCCAGTCTTATTTAGTGACCAATAACGGGCGATGTTGATTCGCATAGCACGTCAGGTAGTTATAACTTAAGCACTAGAATAAAGGGAAGTCATGTTTTTAGTTCAAATATGTTTTAAATCTACGCTAAAACAAGATTTGTTTAAGGTTAAAAGAATATAAGAAACTTTTCAGCCTTCCCCGAAATTCAAGATGGCGGCCAAAAGGAGATTATGAGGGACAAATTTAAATTTCGATTTTCAAAGTGAAAGCTACCCTTTTATCCTGGCTATCATGCATTTTTGTGATGCTTAATAGTCAAAGATTAATATGTGATATGTTTCGGCTGTTCTCCTCGAGTGAGCCATAAACCCAAATTTTCGGCTCTCAGCTGATGGACTTAAACAAAAAATCACACTTTGAGGTTGTATCTTCAATTATGCAGTCAGCAAAGCCAGTTATTTGGTCAATATTTGAATAAAAACAATGCTGACTTGATTGTAACACTGCCTGACGCATGCTTTCCTGACACTCCTCTAATAGACCCTTTAGGGCTCTTCTATCACTTTCACTTACACTTCTGCCCCTTGGAACATCATCAGCTGCTGGAAGAGTCATTTTGGAGGCTATAGTTCCCACATTTTGTGGACAGTCTTGTCCACAAGCACTATCTTGAGCACAGACATCACAGCATAAATGTTTCTTCTCTAATCTTCTTCCTTGACGTTTTTTTTTTGTAACTTAAAAAAATCAAGAACTTGCTTTCTTCTGCGGGACTTTGACCTTGTGTATTCCAGCATCTCTGGTTTACGCTTGCGAAGTTGTCTTCCATAAAAGAGTAATGCTGCCTCTGAATATGCACCATCTCTACCAGCTCTTCCTATTTCTTGAACATATGATCCTAGGTCTGGGGGAGGACCATAGTTTATAAAATGGTGCAAACCCTTTACGTCTACCCCCAATCCAAGGGCATTTGTTGCAATCACAATTCGCACCTTACCAATTGGATCCTTGAGTGATTGTAATACGTGATCCTGGATGGAAGGTGAAGTGCTACTGTGATACATTGCCACCATTTTGTTTGTACACTTCTTTTCAGTACCATATGGGTAGTACGCCTTGTCAAGCAAACTGCTCATGAAAAATTGGTAGAGCTCACCACGTTTTATAGCCTCGGACATATATTAATGTCCGCAGACATGCCATGTTCTTTTCGCTTAACTCCCTGGCAAGCCATGTAAAGTTTACAGAAATTTCAATGGTAACCTTCAAAACAAACAGCTTGATGTTGTCTCTGTTTGGACTAACTGATATTTCCAGACATTTCTTTAAACTCAAACTTTTAATGATTTTATCTCTGGTCAAGGGTGAAGCAGTGGCTGTAAGTGGGACTTGCTTTGGCAAAAAAGACCTGATCTGGCCAACAAGACCACACCACTTTCTGAATGGCTCCTTTCCATCCTTTTTCTCACCCCTAGAGAGACCAGACAAGTGATTTGTAGCTAAAGAGCGATGTTCTACATAAATAATATATCTTACTTATCTACTATGCAAGCAGCAAAGTTATAATAATGCTCCTGTTACTGTATAAATATTTTAGAATGACTGTATAATCATAAGATATTGAACAATTCCAAGAACAATATTAGACATGAGAATGTACATAATTTTGTGTAACAAATGCGCAGAAACAGTATACAAATGCAACATAGCATTTAGCAATTCCTCATAGGGGTTTAACTATGACTGTCCATATTTCTTCAGAAAGGATATATTAAAGGAGCATGATTCAAAAGAAACTGGCCATGGTTTTGAGCTAGTGGGTAGCAAAACATCACAGAGACAATATTACAATGGAGGTAACATAGTGGCAAGCTTTGTGATACTTGCTTTCAGTATAGAATGTATTGTATACACTGTCACAGTTTGACCACCTGAGAGCTTACATTAAGCACATGCAATGGAATTAATTTCTGCAAGTACAGGAAACTGTACCTTTCCTGCTAGAGAAGACTAACACCTATACTGTACATCAGTCATGTCAATCATGAGAGAATGTTTCCTCTTTACAGTGAGTTAGTAATAACAGAAATTTTTGACATCAGTTTACAGCTAAAAAATATTTAACTCAATTTAATGCAATAACTATTATTGCATTAAGCAGATTTCAAGAATAAAAAGGAAACAAATAAAGCATAAAGTTTCTTACCAGTGTACAACAGTGTGAACTTCGTCACAGACAACGGCCACAACATTCTGACTGTAATGCTGCTGTGGAAACATTTCCTGGAACTTTATGTCCCCAAAAAATGACTCTGGACTTCCATATAAAAAGTGGCATTTAATCTTGCCCTCAAAAATATCATTATCTTGTTTAGCACTTTCTCCAATGAAGGCAGCTTCAAAGCCGTGTGACCTCAAGTATGTAACCTGGTCTTTAACGATTGAGCTTTAAGGGGAAACCACAATTACCACTGGCAATGAAGGCATGTCAAATCCCCGGTAAAATAAAGCTTTACAAACGCTAGGCAAGATCTGAAAAGTCAGGCTTTTACCGAATCCAGTCGGCAAAGCTGCAAACACATCCTTTTTAAGGACAACACTCTAAATGTTTAAAACCTGCTCAGGCTTCAGTTCCTCGACGTCTGGAAAAGACTTAAGACCTTCAGAGATAGCTTGTCTAATATCTTTCCTTGTTGGAATAAAGGCAGCAATGATTCTCCATAAATCACACGTGCGTAGCGTAACCTACCTAACATGGGTAATTTAGAAAGCCTTCTTACTTTACCTGTGGGAATGCATGCGCGCGTGCATACTTGTCTGGCTCGTTCACCAAAGAAATGCACGCAATCAGGAAACTTTCAGTTACAGAACATCCCCGTTCATTGAAAATACTGTCTTCCCGAAAACTAACACATGGACACGCATGTGAGGGTATTTTAAAGCTTGAGCTTTCAAGACGTATTCAATTCAAGCTTTTATCGATCACGCCTTCTATTTACGTCATTTACGATACCTTGTGATCCGTCAGAAGCAGAATTTTCTTAGTGCAAATGGAAATAGTCATCCGAAAAGTTTTTCCGAGTCATCGATAGTTCCTTCGTTTCTGTTTAGGGAAGCAGAAAGTGAAAGTTTCCCTTGCGAATATACATGCACAACCTTGGTGAACAAACCAGTCAAGTATGGCGAGATAATAGCCGTCTGTACAAACACATGAAAAGAAATCGGGAGATGCTGTTCGCTGATTGGGCACAATAATACAAAGGTTTTTTGTGCCCAATCGGAAGCCCGCATCCATTTGAATTTTTGGAAATGGTTCGGTAAGAGTCGGTACCCAGGGGCTCATTCGCCAGTACTTGAAAACTTTCATCACGCCTTTTCTCTCGACCCAACTGACTGCCCCTAGGTCTCTTAGGATGGGATTCATGTTGTACATCACAGCATGTACTAAATCGCGAGGTACTCTCAAATTATAAACTTGTCTTAGCTTTTCCCGCATTGCCCTGTAGCCAGGTAGTCTGCCTGGACCTTCTATTTCTTGCGTTATTGCTTCCTCGACCTCATCCACTGCGACATCAGCGTCCATGTATCTCATATTGAAGTATTGAACACGCCTATCTAAAGTTCTTATGCTCCAACTATGGCAATCGTAATCCCCTAGCATGAAATTTAAAATCTCTTTGCGGCAAAGACCTTCTGTCACATAATCTTTTAGTTTTTGTCTCAAATTTAAGTCCTCTTTCCAATAATCGTTCCATATCCTTGCCGCTGCCATCTTTGATGTAAAGCTGCCCGCGGGGCATCTTGGACTATGGCAGTTTTGGGCCACCACAAAAATTTTTCATCTTGTTTTCATTTCATTTACTTTCAATTGACTTCGCCTTAAGATTAATTTCATTTAACACAGAAGGTTTTGATTGCCTTTCATTTTCATTTTAAATTGTTTTGAAAAAGAAATGAAATAGAAATAAAAAATAGAGTAAAATGAATAAAATAAAATATAATAAACAAAATGAATTAACTAAAACCATTCATAATATATAGATTTAGCCAGGGCTAAAAGCGAAGCTCCTACTAACTCGAATTTATAATTTAAATCAAACAATTGTAAATTTGCATTCCACAAATCAGTTAACTTTAGAGCACATTCATGTGACTTTTGACGGAAAGGCTAAGTAATTTTAGAGAAAAACAATTTGCAAACAGTCCAAGCTAAGAGTGAAATTAATCTCACATCGACTTGATAGCCTTATATGTACACCTAAAAAAATGGCATAGCCATAATGGTTCTTGATGACAGTACATTAGGACAACAAATCAGGCCGAATTTTTTGCGTTCGATAAGTTTACTTTACAAAATCTTGCCAACAAGTCTGGGGACGTGTAAACCAACCTTTCATACTTTTTATACATCACATCTGAGGTGAAATAGTACCACGAGGCGCTGTTTTTATCATACAGACATCAGACAGAATGCAGTATTTCACAATTTTGCAATACAAATTGCACTCATTCAATATTCAGGACGATCGAAGCACGCTTTAGCGAAACCGTTAAAAAAAAATTCCAAAATCACCTATACAGCGAGCCGGTTCTCACTTTTGACAAGTGCCAAAGTCGAATGTGTAAATCAAGATTAACACAGTTATACGCTTCAACATAATGGCTTTATAACGATGTGTAATCTTCAAAAGCGCTTCATACGCGCGGCATTTTGACTACTCCTGCTCCCAAACTAGCTAGAAAGTGTGGGATTGAACATTGGTTTCCCTGTGGTGAGGACGGACGGGCAGCAGGCGGGCGGTGTACGGTCACATGATTACCAAATTTTTCTGGGATGGGTAGATTTACTTACCCATGGTGCTCCGCAGATGCGTTTCGCGCGCCAGAGCTCCGCTATAAAAGAAAAAAGCTGAAAATATAACAAAATCCCTATGGCAGCTCTAGGCCACCATAGAGATGTCAAGTCGCTGACCAAGACGTAAACAAGGACAAGATTAAGACGATGAAGAAGTCAAGTTCCTGATACAAGCTGGACCCCTTCTTAGACGAAGACGGAGTTTTCTGAGTTCGCAGGCCATTAGGAAAATCCAGCATTCCCTACAATGTAAAACATCCCCTCATTCTACCAAAGAAAGGACAAGTGAAGAACCTTATCCTTTGCCATTATCACCAGTCAGTCAAGCATCAAGGTCATGGCATCACTCAGAATGAAATCAGATCAAGTGGCTACTGGATTGTTGGTGGAAGTTCTGTAGTGTCTAATCACATCTCCAAATGTGTCCTGTCAGAAGCTGAGAGGCGGTCCTCAAGAACAGAAGATGGCAAACTTACCGGATGATCACCTAGAACCAGCTCTGCCTTTTACATTCTGTGCTGTGGATTATTTTGGTCCCTGGCATATCAAAGGAGGCCGTTGTGAAGTGAAGCGTTATGGGGAACTGTTTACATGTTTAGCGTCCACTGCCGTCCACCTTGACGTCGAGAGCAGTCTTTCTACTGACTCATTTCTCAATGCCTATCATCGATTTGTAGGACGCTGTAACCCAGTGCGACAGCTGCGATCTGACCAAGGCACAAATTTTGTTGGTGCAAGGAATGAGCTGCGACAGGCATTATCAACGTTGGAACACGAGAAGATACGACAAGAAGAACTCTGACTGGGTGGATTTTAAGACGAATGTTACTGAAGCAAGTCACATGGGTGGGGTCAGGGAGCAACAAATCCGTACAGTCCAAAATGTGTTAGCATCACTTCTCGCAGCATGCTGCCCAACTTGATGATGAAACACTCAGAACCTTTATGGTGGAGGCTGAAGCCATCATGGATTGTCACCCGTTGACCGTTGACACGACAAATTCTCCACAGATGCCTAAGCCACTGACACCCAGCCATCTACTCCCATGAAATCTTAAGTGACACTGTCCCCGCCTGGTGAATTTCAACGTGCTGATCTGTACTCCAGAAAACGATGGCGGAGAGTCCAGTTCCTGGTCAATGAGTTTTGGGTGAGGTGGAGAAAGGACTACTTACAGTCTCTTCCGCCAAGACAGAGGTGGGTAGCAACGCGAAGAAACCTGCAGGTGGGTGACATAGTCATTATTAAGGATGACAACCTACCACGAAATTGCTAGAAGCTCGTGCTTGTAGAGGAAACGTATCCTGACGATGATGGTCTTGTAAGGAAAGTTTGTCTCAAGATTGCAGACTAGAATTTGGACGAGAACGGCCAACCTACTGGACCAGCAACCAACGTGTGTAGACCTGTGCAGAAACTGATATTGCTGTTGTCTCGCAAGGAGTATGAAGGCCGGGGAATCCCCACCTGAGGAGCCATGATAGGGAACTGTATGGGCTTACGCCCTACATAAGAGATGGTGATTTGAGAAGTTGAACTCTAACGTTTTGATTTAGTTTTAATTTTCCTTTGTTATTTCATTAGTTTGGTAAATTTCTATCGTAATTTAGGCGAGCCATGTAACGTAGGCTATTTTCGGTTGTGATTGCGTGATCTACATCATAGTTATTTAAAATTAATACTCCTTCGTTTTGAGTGACATTTCAAGAGTGATCGGTATCATCTTTCATTCGGACCATGAGCTAGAGACACACAGAGATTGTAAAAGAAAGATAGATCTAGGATCGTGAAAAATACTTGAGTTGTATACCAGGAAAGAGTTATGTCTTAAATTTATTGTGTTTATATTTAGATCCCGAAATGTCTTATTGTTATTGATTTGTATTGTTTAGATTTATCTGTATGCACGCCCCATGTGCTCAAGTTAAGATCGTTTCAATTTGTTTAGATTTTATAGTAATAGCTTTATTTTCGCTCATTGTATTTCAGTTTTTACGAGATTTCAAGTTAAATACAGGACTTTATAGATCGATAGATACTTGGAGTTTCCGTATTGAACACAAAACATTTCTCCAATGCTGCGTTATTAACTTAAGATAGACATTCCAGTATGATGTCAACGCATGCCCTGTTACACTAAATGTTGTAAGTTTGATTTTATATATAGATGAAATCAGCTAATGCTTCAGCACGGGGCACTTGATATTCCAGCCCTTAACAAAACCATAGTCTTGATCCAAATAGTTTAAATGAGCTTGCCAATGTCTTTTTGGGAATGGAACTTTAAGATATGGTCACTACGGACTACAAACTACTTCTAGACGTCAAAGTCCCAGCCACACATGGACTGGGCCAACTACACTAAAAGGGGTCAAATATTGGACTTTTGTTTAATGCTAAGATCGTGACGGCGGAGACTTAGACCATGGCTCCACTTAAAAAAGAAAATTTCTTTCAAAGATGTTTGACACTCCTTTTTAATCACTTATGCCAATGATTTTCTCCATGATGAACAGTCTATTATTCTTTACGACTATTACCAATCTGTTAATCCTCCATTTCTGTGCTCGAATTTTGATCCATTCTGTTTGGATGTGTACGACTCCTGCGAGTGCAAAGCTCACTTCAGGGTGACCAAGGATTATTGAATGCATTGCAGATTCTGGCGAGTTTCTCATGCCCACAGGGAACAGTTTGCAGTGGCTTAGAAGAACTTTGTTTACTGATAAAACGATCAACATACCCATGCTGCTATTTTGATTTAAGTTCAACTTTTGGACGTCTGGTGCCAGAACTGTGCATGATAGCTAACACTGTGCTTGACTGGGTTTTTAATAAACATGGGTTTCGTTTGAACCACTTGGAATCAGCCATTCCTCACCCTTGCTTGCAAGCGTGTTCATGTGCTTAAATGTGAATCTACAGCACTGCCAAATTGTTTGATAGAAAATCGTTATGGTCCGGTAAGGGTGCACAACATGATGCAAGGATGCTCAAAGACTCTGGCCTGCTGCAAACGCTTGAAAGATAAGCTTACAGTCCAAGGGGGGAGGTCCTATGTCTCTATGGGGACCCAACTTACCCAGTGCGTCCTCATTTACTGGTCCATTACCGAATAGGGGAGTTCCCAGTATTTACAGCCAATATGGAAGCATTTTATGCAGCAATGAGTTCTGTTAAAGCTTTGGTGGAATGGCCATTTGGCGATATCTCCAACTCCTTCAAGTTCATAGATTTTAAGAAAAATTTTAAGTGCTACTACGATCAAATTGTCACATACCTTTTTTTTAGCCCGATCGGTAGCTACCTACCTGAAGTATAAGTTGACCAAGTTTCATTTTTATACGATAAGGGAAATCCTTTTTTTCTGCACTCAAAGTCAATTAATTTTCGTCCACCATTAAATTGCCATGTTCCTGCAGCCTGGATACAAACGAGCACTCAGAGTTCGCGGGAAAAATACAAGTGACGTCAGTTTCTTAACGCATTCCGGTAACTCTCAGCTGATTTCTCTCAACTTCCACACTTTTTTTTTGATGCACTGTTAATGTTTTTGCAAGTGGGAAGTCGCTGTGTTGTACAGGGTTGTGGCAACCGCTCTAATAGAGCGGCTGGAGTTGCCTTGCACAGCCCTACAGAAAAAACAAGAGATGTGTGGCTTCGTTTCATGAGGACCAAAAGGAAGAATTTCAACCCAAAGCCAGGGACCAAATTCGTGATATGTTCTGTTCATTTTGAGGCATCTTGTTCTACACGGCCCTTCCACCCAAGCCAATGTCGACAAGTTTGGCGTGGGTCGTTTCCGAGTATATGGAAAAGAAGCGAGCAGAAAACAGCCCATGAGTCAGACAGAAATCGGCGTATGAGGGAGAAACAACGGCAGAAGGTAAGCGCGCGAAATGTGTGTGCTGTTGTTTTAGCTTTTGTTTTTAGTTTGATCAACAGTCATACAAACTGTAGTAACTACACGTTTTTAATGTACTTGTGAGTTCCATTACTACGAGGCAAGCAAAAATGCAAACAATTTTTTTCTTTTGAACATTTCCTAACCATCGCAGTATACAAAACAAGATTAAGATTCATGTTTACCGCAAAAGGCAAATGTCAGACTCATGTTCAGAATTTCTCTGAATAGAGAAAAAAGCAGATACAACCATTCCAGAACGATTCATATGGTTAAAACTGGCATTAAACTACTTATTTTTGTGTAGAAGCAATAAAGAGTAAACGGAAAATAAGGGGAAAACTTGGGAAAGTGGTACAAATTCACGTTTGGCGTAAACGTCGATCAATTTCTCAGTTCACACCTCGATCAAAGGCGTATAGCACTTGATCGGACACACGAGGGAAAGCAACTCAAACTTTGCTATCACTCAGCTCTCGCTCAGGTGTTCTTTGTCATTTTTAAAGCGAATACATCTTTCTCCTTGTGAATATTTGTTAGTTTAAACCTATGTGCCACGGAACTTAAAAGAATACATTGCGTGATAAATTCATCATCAAGCAATCGCTGGCCATTCCCGAAAATGCTTGGTTAAGCAAGTAAAGTCAATTCAATATTTAACAAGTCTTTCGACGGGAGTTTCTTTAAAATGTTACGTTTGAATCTTTAAGGTTCTGAATGAATTGTTGGAAAAAGCCAAATCAGATGCACAAAGCAGGAAGAATACCATGGACACAGAAATAGTAAAATTAAGTTGAGTGAATAATTTTAGAAATACTACAAATGTAGCTCTTTTCTGCGTTTTAAACAGTATTTTTGTAAGCTTATATTTTTTAATTCAGGAGGTTGTGTCAGATTCTCCAGCGCTAAACAACACTTTTCTTGAGGCAGCTACAGCAACAATCTCTAATGTGGGAGGTAATTTAGCTAGTTGTGAAAATAACCCTATTACACTAGTTGGAGTATCCCGGCGATCGGGGGGGGGGGGTAACCCCGGTTTTAACTTACAGGGGATGTTGGAGGGTTTTTTTTGGGTCTGAATTTGTGGATTAGGGGTTTTTGGGTTTGGAAATTTTTGTGGCAAGTTCAAAAGTGGCTTACTATCTTTCATTTGAAAGGTTCGGCGGAAAAAAGGGAAATCGGTGGTTTGGCAAAACCTCCCACGCTAAACAACACTTTTCTTGAGGCAGCTACAAGAAAAATTTCTAAGGTGGGGGGGAATTTAGCCAGTGTGGAAAATAACCCTATTACCCGAGTTGGGGGTACCCGGGGATCGGGGGGGGGGGGTAACTCCCGATTTCAACTGACAGGGATGATCGAAGGATTTTTTTGGGTCTGAAATTGTCGATTTAGTGGTTTTTGGTTTGGAAAATTTTGGTGCTAGTTCCAAAGCTGCATACTATTCATTCATTGAACAGGTCAGCGGTCAAAATGGCGATCGGACGTTTGTGTTTTTACTCTCGATACTTTTGGCCTTCTATTCTGTTCCTACTCTTGAACGTAACCAGCCCTGGTAATGAAGAGAAAGGTAAAACAATACTCCACAGGCCAATGAGTTTTGGTTTCTGGTTTGCAACGCATCATCGGATTTACGGCTCTTACTCCTTGACGGACATGTTTGTAAAGTCCGCCATTTTGGATTGTCCTTTCGTCGGAGAGGCTTCTTAGCGTCACGAGTACAGTATTACCCGAATTCTGATTCAAGATTTCAACTTATGCATGTTACTGTCAGCAGAGACATTGAATTAAATCCTGGCCTTACAAACTGCTCTGTTTGCAACAAAGTAATTGCCAGAAACCATCGAGCCTTAAGTTGCGACCAATGCACGCTGTGGTGCCATATGAAGTGCGGTCAAGTGAAGCTCAGGAAGTACAAACGTCTCCAGCAAATGGATCAGTTCAACTGGGTTTGCCCAGCATGTTTTTTAACCGCCTTACCTTTTGCTGATGTACAGACACTGAACACGTCGAACTTGTCAAACACCAGTGCGAATTCCCTCCCAGAATTTATTAAATCAAGAAACGATGATGACCGAGAGATTCTTATAATGCATTTGAACATCAGTGGAATCCAAAATAAATTTGAGGAGGTGAAACAGCTTATGAGAGAATTCAAAGCACAAGTCTTCTTTCTTACAGAAACAAAAATTGACGCAACTTACCCTACTGCTCAGTTCAAAATCAGTGGCTATGACATCTACCGCAATGACCGTACCAAGGGTGGTGGTGGTATTATGGCATTTGTATCCTCGAGAACACCATCCAAGAAATTAGCACCTCACCGTAAATTTTCGACCATTGAACCGTTAATTGTTGAAGCCAAATTTGGAAAACATAATGTAGTAGTAGTGGGAATCTACAGACCCCCAAAATCTATCGGTGAGCAATATTACCTCAGGTTAGAGGAAGAACTAAACGACATCTGCACCTTCGCTTCACTTCAAAAGCAATTTGTTATAGTTCTTGGGGATCTTAATCTAGATCGATTGAGACCTGAACGAAGAGAGGGCAAGATATTGTTGGATTTGGAAGATATACATGGTTATTCTTGCCTCATTGATAAACCCACTAGAATAACAGACCACAGCCAAACCCTTCTGGATATCATTCTCACTAATAAGCCATATCTGTTTCAAGGGTGTGATGTCTTTAACCCAGAGCTGAGCGACCATGCACTGGTATACGGAATATTGAAAATCAAGGCTACATATCATCCAAGTAAAATTATCACCTTTCGAAATCTTAAAAGTATCAATGAAGGAGAACTGAAATACGATCTGCATATGGTACCATAGCATGTTGGAGATATTTTTGATTCGATCGAGGATAAGTATAGCTTCTGGGACAGTCTACTGAATTATGTCTTGGACAAACATGCGCCGTTTAAGAAGCTAAGGGTACGAGCACAAGACGTCCCTTACATGAGGGGTGAATGGAAGAGAGCTATTAGAAACAAAAGGAAGTTTTCAAAACAATTCAGTAAAAACAGAATACAGCTAAACCTGGAACTCAAGAACAAATGGCGCAATGAGGCTACCAAATTAAGACGTAAATCAATCAAGTCCTACTGGCAAAAGGTGTGCAATAATCTGAACTCTAACCCTAAGCAATTCTATAACACATTTAATCCCTTTTTAAACCATAAAAAGGATGCATGTGTTGGGAATAACATCACTCTTAATATAAATGGTAAACTAGAAACAAATCAGGAAACTGTTGCGGAACACTTTGCTGACTATTTCTCCACAATGGCAAACAACATTGGCGGTACAGACATCCTAAACTTAAAGGAAGAAAATTTTAGTGCACACGTTTGTGTACAAAACATAAAGGAAACGTTGAGTGGGTCTGACAGACCACCTTTCACTTTCTCCAGCGTACAGCCAGCAGAGTTAATCAAAGAAATGGAAAGCCTGAACGCCAATAAGGCTTCGGGTCATGATGGCTTGCCTCCCAGGCTCTTAAAAATGATCTCAAAGGAAATTGCTCCATCATTGTGTACACCTCCATAGAGATGGCAGCATGGCCGGAAACTTGGAAAAGGGGTACATGGACTCCTGTATTTCAAAAGGATGATAGACATGACACAAGCAATTATAGACCAATCACTGTTTTGCCTGTTGTGGGTAAAATTTATGAAAAGTTATTGAGCAAACAAATTACAAATTTCATGGACCCCATCCTCAGTGATAACTTAACAGCATATAGGAAATCACACAGCTGCGAGACAACCCTAATCCGACTTGTAAAGAATGGAGAATGGAGCTAGATTGTGGGAAACTGGTTGGCATGTTATCTACTGATATGAGTAAGGCATTTGATTCACTTTACTCTCCTCTTCTTATAAAAAAAATTGGAATCATATCGCTTCTCGGATAAAGCTCTAGACCTAGTTCACTCCTATTTTCATAATAGGCAAAATAGAGTCAAACTCGTATCAGTGCTAAGTCAGTGGAGAGTTCTAAAAAGAGGATGCCCACAAGGATCTTGTTTTGGCCCTTTATTGTGGAATATCTACCAAAATGACTTGAATTACTACTTTACAGACAGGAATATCTCAATGTATGCTGATGACCACCAGGCATATGTATCGGGTATTACACTTCAAAATGTGCAAAACCAACTTCAAGAAGTAGGAGACGAGATCACTGTATGGTACGGTCAAAACCTACTGCAAGGCAATTTTAAGAGGTATCAAACTATCACTTTTGGATCAGACATAAAGTACCCTGACAAAGCTATAAATATAAAGATTGGACTTGAGGACATTGAGCAAAAAGATGAAATGAAATTACTTGGAGTATTGATAGACAGTGATTTAAATTTTAGTAAACATATTGCTCGAGTATGTAGGAAGGCTAGTCAACAAATAGGAGTACTATCTCGTCTGAAAAATTTAGTATCTGTTCCAGCAGAACTCACACTATTCAAATCGGCCATCCTCCCACACCTCACGTATTGTCAAAAAGTCTGGCACTTTGCCAGGGCTTCGGATAAACGTAAATTAGAAAGGATACAGGAAAGGGCTCTACGCGTAATCTATCTGGACAAATTTCATCTTATGAAGACCTTTTAAAAAGGGCTAATCTAGATACATTAAATGAAAGAAGGTTGAAAGACATACTATTTCTGATGTACAAGGTTAAGCACCAAATGGTGCCAGGTTACTTTGAAAACATTGTCAAAAGAAATGATTTAAAGCCATATAGCCTCCGAAACTCAGACTTTATCCTTCCAAGATACAATACTGTAAAGTATGGAAGGCACTCCATCAGATACTTGGGCCCACTGTTATGGTCCAAGTTGGCCAGCTCTAAGAGAAATGCACCAACCATGAAAGACTTCAAACGAATGATAAACTGTAGAGA